TTTTCATATATAAAGAGAGGGGGGGGGCACACACACACACACACACACACACACACACACACACACACACACACACACACACACACACACACACACACACACACACTTATTACTTAGTTAATTTACTGTGTAAAGGTGTCTAATTTGTATGGGGTAGGTTTTGATTATTTTTCTTCCTCATTTATTTATTTTATTTATTTATTTTATTTATATCCCGCCTATCTAGTCACTTAAGACCACTCTAGGTGGTCTGCTTTTGGAGTGGATTGATTCTCTGTCACCTTGCCTCTCTGCTTTTCTTGGAGTCATTTACAAGAGTTCTGCAGGGCTTAAGTTCAACGAATGCAAGGAAACATGAATGGGAAGAACCTGAAAACCACTGCACACAAAAGACTAGCTAACTACACCCATCAATCACAATGACAGATCATCTCTCCCTTATCACAACAATACACCCACAACAAAAAACACGCTGATCACCATAATCACCCAATCTCTTGAAAAGGACAAAAACTGATCCCACAGCTATAAATACTCAACTATCCAACAAACTGCACCAGAGCACAGACAGAGTTCTGACCCCTGTCCTCTGAAGATGCTGGCCACAGAGACTGGCAAAATGTTAGGAAGAAAAACCTTACAAACACGGCCAAACAGCCTGGAACATCCACAACAACCATCGGATCCCAGCCATGAAAGCCTTTGAGAATACAACCTGAAAACAACTTTCATTTTTGTTGAATGAAAGTCCTGGAGTGCTAAAACCATAAAAATGAAAGAAGCAGCTAAAAAATGAGAAAGATACCCCAAATATTTTGCTGGGCTCCTGTCTAACATGGTTTAATGATATGCTGAAAGTATTAGCAGGCTCTGAGCACAGATAATGATCCCTACCTATGTTGTTGTACCGGAGAAATATATTCTGTCAGAAAATGAATTTCTGCAATTCTATCATAACCACTTGCCAGGAAGAATTTTAGAGACTGATTTTTAAAAAGCTGTTAAGAATGACACTCTTGTCCCGGGTAAATTGAATGTAAAATGAAAACAAAAAGATTCTCGATAGAGGAATTTCTGAACACCTTTGCTCTCCTAGCGTCTGCAACCACGCAAGAAGAACCAAGAATCATCCCACTCTCATCCATGACAATGAGGCACATAATTCCCTGTCCAATTTTTTACTCTCAAAGATGCACCACAAATGTATTGCCACTTACAATTTACACTGGCAAAATATGTGTGGGCTTACATCGTGCCATTTTATCTAACAATATCAAATATTAAAATAGTGGAAGCATTTTAGAATAAACAGCTTTTTTGGGGGGTTGTTGCTTGATTGCAGCTGATTATGTTCTGCAGCTTGTGCTGCTGGTGTCACAGAGGTGACCTAATAGCTCCTATAACTCATCTCAACAGCTGACCTTTCCCCCTCACTGATGAAGCCTATTCAGAACCTGGTGGCCTTTTGCTCACATCAGGATCTTCTCTCTTTCTCAACTGTTTTGATCATGAATATATTTATCAAAGTGGAGTCCCCCCCCCAAGTCCAAGAAGACTTCAGTGATCACTTGAAAAGATGAAATTTAAATAAAGTACAAAAGAAAGAGTCTTTCAGTCTCTCTCTCTCTCTCTCTCTCTCTCTTTTTTTTTCCGTATTTGTGAGTTTTTGCTTACCTGATGCCAGCATGTCATTAATTAATACGAGAAAACGCTCATCAGGGATCTGAGCATCTGCATGAAGAAACACTGTACCAATGTTCTTCACGCCGACTTTAAAGTAAAGTGCAGCAATATCACTCTGTAGAAGAAAGGAAGGTTTAGATCATTACCAAAATATGCATACAGAACAATATCGCGAAACAAAGCAACCTCCTGAAAGGGAAGTTTAAAGACTTAAAATTCAAATGATCTGAAGAAGAAAATTACGTATTTGCACAATATGGCAACCTATGGGTGGTTCACTGGTTTACTGAGAGGGAGGCCCTTGCTGCATTATCAAAAATGTCATTGTCCCACAGTGGCAATATTTAATTTAAGTTAACTGAAAACTTCATAATCTCTCTGCTTTCAGGCTCCAAAGTTCCATAGGGCTCACCTTAACTCTGAAGCAGTTTTGGGGAGCCTCAGCATGGGACAGGGAACTTTCAAAAGCCAAATATCCCCTCTAGATTGCTACGGGCAGTCCTGAGCCTGGTGGTGGCGATTTGACTACCCTTTCTCCTAAATTGGGTATCCATTATATTATATAATACAATGGTCCAAATCCTCTGACTAATTATGTTCATAGAATCACAGAATGGTGAAGTTGGAAGGGGCCTATAAGACCATCAAGCCCAACCCCCTGCTTGATGCAGGAAATATAAATCAAAGGATACCTGGTTGGCTAAGTTTCTCTTGAGCAGCTCCAGTGTTGGAGCACTCGCCACTTCTTGAAGTAATTGGTTCTACTGTCTTACCGTTCTCACCGTTAGGAGGTTTTTCCTGATATTCAACCAAAATCTGGCTTCTTTTAACTTGAGCCCATTGTAGCGTGTCTTGCACTCTGGGATGATTGAGAACAGAATTTGCCCCTCCTCTGAAGGACAGCCTTTTAAGTATTTGAAAAGTGTTATCCTATCACCCTTCTATCTTCTTTTCTCAAGGCTAAAAGATTCAAGGCTATGATGCCATAGCATAAATTTGTAGGCAAGTTATTTTAATTTGAGAAATCATCATAGCCATTATCAGCTCAAATACTAGTGATTTATTAACTTGGGCCAATTTTCCTCCAAAAGTTACACCATTTGTGTAGCTACAGAAGAGGATTTTGATCAATAAATAAGCATAATAAATGAACAGATATTTCTTCCTGGTGATGGCATGCACCTTTAAAAAAACAACCCTACAGTTTATTGTTATGTTAAATAAAATAAAATTTATTTGGGATCAAAAGTACTTTGTGTCTTGCTCTTGCACAGAAGGGAGGGGTTTCAGAATCCTCAAGAGGTTATTTCACCATGTGACAATAGCCCCTCTTGGCTATAAATGAGATTTTGATTACATTTCTTCACATATCTACCATGTTCTGTTAATTCTTTACAATTGCTGGAGAACACAGGGACAAGCCACTTTAAGTTCTGGATACTGTGCTTTAAGAATAATCCCAACAAACTGGAGTAAGTTCAGAGGAGGGCAACAAAGATTATCAGGGGACTGGAAACCGAGCCCTGTGAAGAAAGACTGAACGAACTGGGAAGGTTTAGCCTTGAGAAAAGAAGACCGAGGGGATATAAGGTAGTACTTTTCAAATACTTGAAAGGCAGTCATACAGAGGAAGGCCAGGATGTGTCCTCTATCATCCCAGAATGCAGGAAGCCAGATTTATGCTGAATATCAGGAAAAAAGCTCTTTAACTGTTAGATCGCTATAACAATGGAACTAATGACCTCAGGAGGTGGTGAGCAATTGGACAACCACCTGTAAGAACTACTTTGATTTGAATTCCCGCCTTGAGTAGGGAGTTGAACTCGATGGCCTTAGAGGCACCTTCCAATTCTATGATTCTATAATTCTATATGCTTTTAAGATTTATAATGATTTAGGTAGGTCCACCTAGTTCAGTACTGCGAACTCTGACTGGAAGTGACTTTTCAAGAGTTTACACATGATTCCTTACCTGGAGGTCCTAATTAGGTATTTCCTAATACTCTCCAGTGAGAGCTGGACCATAAAGAAGGCTGACCGCCGAAGAATTGATGCTTTTGAATTGTGGTGCTGGAGGAGACTCTTGAGAGTCCCCTAGACTGCAAGGAGATCAAACCTATCCATTTTGAAGGAAATCAGCCCTGAGTGCTCACTGGAAGGACAGATCCTGAAGCTGAGGCTTCAATACTTTGGCCATCTCATGAGAAGCGAAGACTCCCTGGAAAAGCCCTTGATGTTGGGAAAGTGTGAAGGGAAGAGGAGAAGGGGATGACAGAGGACGAGATGGTTGGACAGCATCATCCAAGCTACCAACATGCATCTGACCAAACTTCGGGAGGGGTCACGAAGAGTCGGACATGACTTAACGACTAAACAACAACTAACCAGAGTCAACTCTGCTTTGCTTCTAAAATAAAACTTTTTCCTGGATAGTTCTGGAAAAACTTCAGAGGCAAAATAGCAGCCAAAGCGTAGGATATGTCAGATGTCAACAATTTTAGAAAATCATCACTTTTGAATAAAACACTTTCCAACACTTTAACTATATGTTGCTAAGGCTGCAAGAGTCCCAGTAAGAATAGGATTGTAGGATATACGTATTCAAATCATACTCTACAACCTGGCCATTCCTGGGGTGAAATGAGATGGGAAAGTTACTTTTTAAAAGCTAATTAAATGAAGTAGTACCCGGTGTGGTGGATAGTGTAAAGGACTAGGACCCTAGAGATTAGGGTTCAAATCCCCATTCAGCCATGGAAGATCACCGGGGGTGTGGAACTGGTAAAATCACATCTTAAATTCCTCACTTGCTTTAAAAGCCCTTTTAGGGTCGTTATAAGTCAATTCTGACTTAATGGCATATAACTAATTATTTTATAGCTACAAATGCAGTCCCTCCAAAATTACTGTTGATCATACAGGTTTTAAAGAAGGAAATCTTTATTTCACTGTTTCTCAGCAGGAACTAAAATGTGGCCTGTTATAGTTACTGAATGCTACAGACTGTTTCCCTGTGACAGGGGCGTCTCGTATCCAAAGAAAAGCACGATGCGGCAGAATGAGCCATCAGCGAGGCTGTGTGATATTTTTTCTTCAGTTTTGAATGAGACCACATACCCCATATATAAAAAAATAATTTAAAAGCTACCATTACACCGAATGAAATAAACCTTCATAAAACTCCAATTTGTAATGAATCATAGTTATAGATTTGTTAATTAGAATAATGAATTAATTAGAAGTAATTTGTGATTTGTAACCAGTTACTTCTGCTTGTGCACTGGCTCCATGTATCACCTCATTCTTCCTGGAAAGAAAGCCGCAGCACAATTCTCTTGCCATCTGTTCTGGCAGTACTGCTGTGCACCAGAGAATGCGGAAGGAAACAGTTTCTTCCTTCCATCTGTAATTTGCCTCTACAGAGGACTCTCAACTTACAGACGGCTCCACTTACAGACTTTTCGAGTTACAGACTTTTATGGCTGCAAAAATTAGGTTCAACTTGCAGCCGGAGAATCGACCTACAGACTGGAAAAAAAAACCCAAAATGGAACAAAAACGCCCAGTTACAGATTAATCGGGCTTCAATGCATTGTAGGTCAACGGAGCCTCACCCTACAGACTTTTCGACCTGCAGCCACTGTTGCAGTACTGATTAATTCTGTAAGTCGAGGGTCCACTGTATCGGGGATGAATGGGGGTGGATGAATTTCTTCATAAGAACATCTTCAAATTCAAATATTTCTTCATGAGGCCTTAAAAAATTATGGAGGGGGCTGGGAAGTGTGTGACAGATTCACCTTAGTCAACCAGAGGGCTTTGAGTGCTTAGCTTATCAGTCAGGAAATGAACTGGAGGGGGAAAAAAGATAAAATATCTTTTGTGTTCTGAATTCCTGTAAGGAGCAATGAATTGGGATTTCCCTCTTTTTTGCCACCTTTTGATTGGTACATGACAGGCAACATAGGTTAGCATTAGAGATGGGGGTATTCGTATACAAATATCCCCGCGCAGCTGGCGTTAACGAGTGGACCGGACTGTCCACTCATGCATCCAATGGTGACAGTGGCCCCTCTCTTCCTTCCGATTGCTCTGGAGCACCGCTTGACTAGCCACTCGGCTGGCTTGCAGGGAGACCCATCTTGCCTCCCTCTGCCAGGAGTGGCTAGCCAACCGGGAAGTGAATGACACTTGAGAGCAATTGGAAGGATGAGTCAGGCAGCCACTGCTAGCGGATGTGTGAGTGGATGGTCTGGCCCCTGGGGCCAGACCCTCATTAACGTCAGCTGCACAGGGATATTCGTATAAGAAAACAAATACCTCCATCTCTAGTTAACATTAATAGGACACTACTTTCTTATTTGTTCCCTGTAACACATTGATTTTGGAATAATGGGAGCATAACAACATTCCCTTTGCTAAACAATGAAACAACTAGAAATAGCACCTTTAAAAAACATAATAAATAATGAAATAACCTGTAAAGTCACTAAATATGGTCATTCAAACATTAAACTGAGGGAAAATTGGATAACAGTCTGATAAAGATGAATAGTAAATAAAACCAAACGTTTGTACAGCTTGGTAGCTTTGTAAATAAGAAGCCTAATTTTATTTAAATTTAAAGTTATTATATAAAATACTACTGTAGTGTATCTTTTAAATAATTTTTGAATACTTTTAATCTCAAATGTTGAAATTTATTGTTATATAATTCTGTTGATGATTTGTCACAGCTCTGTTATTGAGCTATCTATCTGTCTGTCTATCTGTCTTATCTGTCTGTCTGTCTAACGAACGAACGAACGAACGAACGAACGAACGAACGAACTAACTAACTAACTAACTAACTAACTAACTAACTAACTAACTAACTAACTAACTAACTAACTAACTAACTAACAGGTCATAAGAATTTTTGGGGAGAACATGAGGGAGTCCCTCTCCATTTTTGTCATTTTTGTATTGTTAGGTTTGTGGGTTTGTTTGTTTGTTGCAAATTTACGTAGGTAAAATGGAACTTGCTGACAACATAGCACTCTACATCATAAACAATGGCAATCATTTTATTTTATTTATAAAACACACAGTTGCTCGGTTCAGTTACCGATCATTTGTTTTGTGGAAAGAGTAAAACAATACAAATGAATGGGGATATGAAGTTGATCAACCCACCCACTGCTAGCCACAGTGGCACAGGGTATTAAGGTAGTCCAAAGCTTTCTAGCTTCTTGTATTGCAGGCATCCTTCTTCACAGGAAATCAGTGTTGGTTCTGCTCATCACTTCTGAAACACTCATTTATAAGTGCTAAGATACTCAGGGAGAGGGTCTTTAAAATTCACCAGTGCTTGCTGAAATGGTAAGCGCTAACGCTCACACAACAGTAAAATGGAAGAGGCAGCCAAAATATGTATCTGATCAGAAAATTATGCTGCACATGACTCTTTAAAGAAAGGATGGAGGTGAGTAAATCCTAGTAATTCTTATTTGCTAATTTATCTATGTTATCTATGTACATTTAAAATTTCTCATTGTTAAAAATTTTGCACTGCACTAAATGAGGAACTAAGTCAGCCAGTTTAAAATCTGTCAGTCCCCATATTGTTGCTATATTGTGATTTCAACACTTTTTAAGCACATGTGCATGCGCACACACACATGCACACACTCAACCAGTTGCCGAAACAAATCCCAAAAAGGGAATGAACAGAGCAGCTAGGTAATGTGAAAACCTGGGTTCAATGTTTTTAACCCAGTAATCACACAATCTTTAGATAACCATATTTATTACCCCAGTTCAGAGCCTGGAAAGTTAATTTTATGAATCTGGGGAAAAAATAGCCTGCCAAAGCTGCCCGTATTTGACAACTGGAATATGCTCAGCATTTCAAACCAATTGATAAGTAGCTTTAAATATTGCATGGACACAGAGAAGAAAGTGTACAGTGGACCTATGCTACTGATCCCCAAATTTGGAGTTTGGGGACACCCAGAAGCCCTGATTATTGACTGTGTTGGCAAGGGCTTCTGGATGTCATATTCTAAAAATGTCTGGGGTTCTAAGTTTGTGAACTACTGATCTAAACCAGGGGTGGACAAAATGTGGCTCTCCAGACATCGTTTAACTAGAACTCCCACCATCCCTCACCATTGGCTATGGTGGTTAGAGCTGATGGGATCTGTAGTCCAACTCAATATGGAGGGCCACAGTCTGCCACCTGATTTCAATGAAGACCCAGTTTTGAATGGGGAAGATATTTAATTGTCACTCATGGGATGACAGAGTAGGACATCTTACATATAATGGTAATAATGCAACCTATGATGGATGGTAATCTAAGGCCCCAAAAGCTTTCTCTGAACTTACCCTGAGATCATGGATTCCATAGCTTTTGTGAAGGGCTATTTGGAAGACTTCCAGGGAGCTAAGAAAAGCTGCTAAGCGGCACAAACTTTGCTTTCCACTTCCTCCAACTCCAATCAAAAGGGCATTTCCACAGGGGGCCTCAAGAATACGGTTGATGCGACAGCTGTAGGGCAATTGAAGATTAGAATGAGTTCAGATGCTTTTCTTAAAACCAATAGTTTGTGGTGATTAAACTTATCTTTAACATGATGATGTGAACACAGTGAGACTTCCATGTAAATATACATAAGGCTACGCTGCAGTTGTATCAGCTCCCTAAATATTTTTAGTCTATTAACTGATTAGCAAATTGATTATATTTTAATACACTTATGAGACACAAAGAATTGGCATAGATACCTTTTCAAGATTGTCAAAGGAAGGCTTTTTCTCTCACACACATTACAAGGTTGCAGATTTTATATTGAAACCGTAGGATGGAAAGGTCATCTGGTGCGGTATAGTGCGAAGGAAACTTATCCATCTGTGCCGTCGACAAAGTAATTTGCCCTTCAATGACTCTCCATCAATTAATGAAGGGAAAAATATAACTTGCTATTAAAGCTTTCCCTAATTAATCTACCTATTAAACTAATTAAAAGTTGGTAGCCCTACAATCAACCTCTTTAGAACCATGGACTAGAAAAATACAACTTGTAATTTTAAGAACTTTCTTAATTTTGAGCTGCCTGCCACTTTGAATCTGACAGTACGTTTTTTAAAACATCCTTCTTGGTATCAGATGTAAATTTTTTACTAGCAATTTGCATCAAAATGGTAATGGCTTTGGAATTCATGGACAAAGACGGATGTGTAGGAAAACAAATTCGCAGCTCTGGAGAGAAACAAATGCTCTATACAGTAATATAGAGTTAAATGTTAAAATGAAGATCATGTTAAAGTGCAGATTAAATGTTAAAGAGTAATGCCAGTCCCTATGGCCATGCAAGCAAGAAGGATTTTTTAAAAATGTAGGAAACTCTGTTGACCTATATCAATAAACCAGTTCTAGTAGTTTTCTTTTCTATTAGCAGCAGTTTATTTCTATAACAAATGGATTTGATTTGCCCATTCAAGGCCAAACCACCTGAAAATACATTAAACACACATGGCTCATAACAATAAATTATTGCTGCCGGAGTACATAGGCTGGAATCCTCTTGGGGTTTGTATAAGGTTTACACAATTATCCACAGCTAATTATGGCTAATTGTTGAGGTTGTAAACAGTAGTGCAGCCAGGTGCATGAGAAGGCACGTGACCAGAGATGGACCACAGCACCTAGGCAACTAGCTGCAGGAAGCTACACAACCACAAACACCAATGGAATTCTTGCCATGGTAATCCATGCTGAGCACACCGAAGCTGATGCAGTGGGATCTGACAGTGGCAATCCAATTTCCGGAAGGTCTGAGGATTAAAGCAAAGCCTTGCAGTCATAATCAATAGAATGTCAATTTGGTGCATGGCAGCTATGAGGGAAAAGATGAACTTCCTGTTAGGGGCTGTTAGGAATGGGGAATAAAATGAAGTGGCACCCTAGTGCCCTTATATACAATATATAGGGTAGCCAGACATGAAACAATATGCAAGGTTTATTTACTTATTTATTTTACTTAATTTCTATTCTTGCAATATAGGGACCTAAGGTAGTTCATAATTAGAGATAAAAGTTAGCCAAAGTAAGTTATATAATATTGAAAACAATTAAGAATATAAAATTCCACTAATTGAAAAACAGATTAAAAACACTTAAAACACACATGAACAAACAGTAAAATGTACAACTTTCCACAATAAAAATCCTTTCTAAACTATCCACTTGCTGGAAGACTGCTCAAAATGAAGGTCTTCACCAGTGGAAGGACAGTGGGGCGGGGGGTGGGTGGGGGCACCAAACTGGACTCTTGAGGGAATCCATTCAGGTAGCCCTCTCTGAAAGCAGTGCTAGAAAAGAATTTCATTTCAAATTATAATTCCCCCTGCCCCATTTACACATGTCTTCATTTTCAAAATGGAAAGAACTTGAATAAAAACAGTTTGAATGTGGAAACAACCTGAAAAGGACATATCCATGTATTCTGGCCCAGAACACTTTAAAGTCTGTGTTGTAGCTCCATACATTTGATTGCAGTCTTTAGTTGCTACTAATGCAAAAATGCTTTTAAGACAGAGAGGGGACGGCTGTATCCCTGTCCCTTCTGTTTCTAGTACCCTTGCTCCCTTGCACATGGAGCACAATGACCTCCACTGTCTGTGGGGGCTTTCAAGATGACATGAACGGTGACAGTCTGGATTTCCATGGAGTGTTCCCCCAAGACATCAGATCTTCTAGTCAAACCCGTCACCCTCCAGGTATAGGGGAGTGGCAACACAGGTATCAGGCAGGTACAACAGGGTCCTCTCTGTCCTGAGAATAGCCCTACCTACTGAGGCTGGCCCAAGTTGGTGGATGAAATGGAGAAGAAAGTGATGTAGAACAAACTGAGCCCCTCTCCTAAGGGGCAATCAGGGCTTCCCACAATAACCATCTATTTAGCAGACAGGGATCAGCGCCCTACTTCGCTGGCTGTACAGAGAGGTGAGTGTCTTGTGGATCGGGGCATTCATCAAGCATGATTAGTGCCACCCTCTCCCATCAACATGCAGAGCAGTAAGATGTCAATCAGCACCAGGTCTGATAGCTCTGCACTTTGAGGTTTCTCAACCAGGCTGGCGCTTCCCGTGGGATATCATTCTTTTATTGATTAGCTGCTTCTCTGCTGGGACTGAAGCTTCCTCAAGAATATTGCCATGCTCAGGTGGCCTCAGGCTGAGCTCCGTCTCTACATGCATGACTTCCTGCCAGAATAATTAAGTACCTTTTTCTTGATTAACAAGAAAACAAAACAAGATAAAAAAAATTAATTTGATTTCTATTGCAGATCCCAGTGGAAGAGCCTTTACAAACTCTCTGGGAAACAATCATCGCTCTGCCATACAGATTAGGTATACTCCGATTGGGCAGAGCACATATTAGTGCAATTCTTGAACACTGCTTCAAGATGCCACAAAAAAATCATCAAGTTGATTCCTCCTTACAAGTCCATATCCTCCTTACAGTGGCCCTTCCAGGCTCTTCTGGGTGTAAAGTATTCAGAAATGCTTTACCAGTCCCCAGAACTGGCATACCAGTCCCTCTGACTGGTGGGTTGCCACAGGCTACACAAGTGGCGGGGTGTGTGTTACCCCCGTTGGCCACACACACTGCTGGTGATCTCAGACAGCTCCTCTGCCAGAAAGTACAGTGAGGATACAAACTCCCAACTCCAGGTTCCACAGCCAGGTGGTCCAACCTACTAAGGCACATCTACGGCTATTTTAAAAAATGTACTAAACCCATCACCCGTTACAGATAATGGAAATGCAGCATTGCTATTTTACAAGGGTGCATTTTATCGCTACCATTTTGCCTCTCCAACCTAGAACTCATAATTTGCAATATCAGCGGGTTTAACGCTCTTGTCACTGAAATTAATGAGAAGTTGCTCCAGTTCGGTGACATTATGTCTAAAGTTTGCATTGGTTGTTCAGAGCAGCCGGGGACTTCCTGAAGAGCACCAGAACTGGCAAAGAAATGCAAAAATTGAAACCAGGGGTTGCTTTCATTTTTTAGGTATGTTTCAGGAGGCCAGAATGGGCTGTGACCTATTTCAACCATGAAATGCCCACTCCTAGGCACTTCTACATGCTGCCCTACGCCTTCTCCCACCCCCCCCAGGAAAAAAGGTGCCAGGCAAGGACAGAAAGTCATAAAAACAGCCTGGGGGGCACTTTGCCCACCCCACAGTACACAAATAGTCTGAAAGCTACCCTATGAACAGAAGGTTGAATAAGAAAGGAGAGAGGGGAGGGGATGCTAATGCAAACAGATAAACCTTGAGTCTGGAATTTAAATAGCTTCATAAAGATACATAAGTTGTTGTTTTTAACCCCCATATGATAAATAAGAAGCTTCGATGCTGCTAATCAGAAATGCCATAGGACCCAGGAAAGCAAAATGGCATTTTCCTCCACTCCCAAGGCAATTTCTACAATGACTCTCAAACCCTCCTTTTTTCCTGTCACACTTACACATGTCAGGAGATGTCAAAATATTTGAAAAGGGATCTAACAGTGTATAAACTGAATCTTAAAATATCCTTCCAGGTCATGCCTCTCTCTGTCCGTGAGCTTTCCCGTGAATTGAATGGCAGCAGCTGTGGACCCTGTTGGTGACACCGCACCAGAGCCACAGGTTACACACAGTGACTTTAAAGAATGTGAAGACTCACAAGCTTTTGAAGTGAGCCTGCTGTTCTCCACGCCTGGCTAAGTCCTGGCCAGTTACAGAGTGATCCCTGCCCTCTTCTGAACCTTTGCACAAGGCCATGCTTGAATACCTCCACAGCCCGCTTAGAAAAAATGTTTCCATTTCAGTTGTGTTGAGCACCAGAATGCCTTTCCCACATGCTCAGGCCGAGGGAACTTACACATGCTGTATGGCATCCTCAAAGAGAACAAGGTTCATTGCCGCATGTAGCTCGTTGTAGTGCTCTAAGGCCTCTGTTAAAATTCCGGTCAGCTTCTTCCAATCAGAGGCTGGAAAGTAACGAGGTTCTCCAACACCATGGGCAAAGTGGCAGTAAATTAATGGCTTGTGGATAAACATGTGCTCATCAACACCCTGGTGGTAACAAGTCAGAGATACAAACAAGCATTCAACCTGCACATTAACCCTTCAATTCAATCGGTGCTCTAAAGTCAAACTTCTAAACAAATAGTGAGACGTTGCCAGTTTGAAATGAAGCTCGCTGAGAGAATGAACTAAAACTTTGTTTTAACAATTGGCCCCCAGTGCTGCACTGCAACCTAAAAGATTTGTCTGGTAGCCAGATCTCACCCACATTTGCTCAGAAGAATCCCACTAAGCTTGGTAGGAGTTGGTGTGCAAGGAAACGTGCAAGGGATCGCAGGCCGAGCTGCCATAGTCTCCCCCTGGTCATGCAGTGGCAAAGGCGAAGGATTGTTGCCATAACCATATCTCCCTGGAGAGTTGTTGTAGGCCGTTCTGTACACCCATATCTACTTATCTTTGTCTGTGTGCAGTTCTGTACTATATATGTCAGCATGAGTATTCACACACTGAAATACACATACATATGCCCCCATATAAGCATAACATCCAATCTATCCAGACCAGCTGAGTATTATGGAATAGTCAACTTGCAAAGGACAGTGAGGTGGTTAGCTGGATATTGACTAGACGCGTAAGGGGTTGCTTTAAAAAAAAAAAGGAAAATCTTATTCACAAATGGCGTGAGAACATCAACTCAATATTTTCTTCTCCAAGAATCAAGGAGCAATGTTTGATCTCAAAATCAAAAGACAAGTTCCAGCCGTTTTCATCGCTACCAAGAGTGGGTCTTTTGTAAAGCTATTTGGTCATAATCACCCATTTGAGAGCACTCTGGCCTGTGAATTCCAGTTCTACTGTCCTACTCTGCCCCTGCTTGAGACCCTAAGGCACTTCCCCCCACCAAGTGCACTTAGCTCAGCATATTTTGCAGTACAATAAGATTTGGTCACAACAAGACAGACAGACCGGAAAACACCCCCCTCTGCCCAGGACTGTCAGGATTGTAGCTAAGTTCACAGAAAACAGAGAAACCTGAGATGAAGAGGAGACGATGGCATCATTCTGCCTAATCAAGAGGTTTCATTACTCTGCCTTGGAGAGCCTTGGGCTGTAAGGCTTGAGTTTGCACCTGCTCCAGTAAGTTCTACTGCAGACAGCAAAAGGTGACCATCCAGTTTAAACAGAGGACACAAAAGCTGGAAATAGCACTCTTTTCCTTCCTTAATATGAAAACCACTTTAGAGCCAAAATGGAGGACTTGGGTAGCACATTAACAGCAATGGTGCTTCCTCTAAGCAGCAAAAGATCTGTATGCCAGGGGCTTTTCTTTACCTCTACATCATGCATTACAATTAGGTTTACATTGCGATTGGTCACCAGAAGACAAACAGGGCCACCATCTGATGAATAATTATCATTAGAAACACAAAGCATCTCACCCGAGTGAGGAAGACTGGGATTAGTTGCCCTGTGTGTCTTCTCTGTCTGTTGTCTCTAGATGCTAACTGTAGGTGGGTAACGTCAAAGCTCTGCCTTCTTATAGTTCACTGGGCGAAACAGCCCCAGCTAGCACAGGCCTATTGAGATGAATGGGCTCTGTTGGTAAATATCTAAGCCCCATAGAATTCAGTGGGTTTATAAAGAAATCTATTTGCAACTGATCTTACAAATAGAGGACAAATTCAAACAGAAGATAATCCTCTGTAAATTAGGGCACACACAAGGGAGGTGTTTTTTTCCTAACAATCTCCAATGTGTGGGGAGAGGACCAAAAAAAGGGGGGGTGAGAAGAGGTTCCATCCTCCCCTTCCTAAACACTGCAGCCCTAATCTCACTTACTACTGAGATACAGATGTAGCTGCAAGTCGTGAATTAAAACCAAGGTGTCCTTGGGCCTCCATTAATGATGATTCCAGAGATGAAGAATGCACCGAGAGGAATATTTAATAGTGTAAGCCACACCGAAGACATACCTCAAAATATCTTTTTGCTGTATCAATAAGCACTTTGTGAAAATGTTCAATATCTTTTTCATCCATAAGTTTATCCGAATAGACTCGGGATGATTCATGAAACCATAAGTGAACCAAGTCAACAGGGAACTGCAAGCACTCTGGGGTTGCAAAAAGCATTCCCTGCAAGAGAGGTTGAAATATTTTTTTATTTGAACATCATCTTCCTTGATCATTGGGCTCTATTAACCAAAACATGCCATTCAATTAACTGTACCCCGGTGCCACCAAAAATATGTGGATTTTTTTATTTGTGCATATGTTTGATAGACAATTAATGGCTCACAGTTTAAGCGCAACATAATGAGGTACAGTGGTTGTCTCAGGAACATTGATTCCTTTTCCTCCCACACTTACTCTCTATAAATTTTATTTGTGTGGAAATTATCTTTGTTTTTTAAAATTTGTCTCAGCTGCTTCTCAAGCACGAGTTTATGATTTTGTGTCTTACCTGTTTCCCCTGATATTTTCTACTGGATGTTATCTAAACTTTACAAAAGCCTGCTGTAATCTGCCCCCCCTCCAGATGTTTTGAACCAGAAATGTGAGGAGTACAGTATCCTATTGAAAAGCCTTCCTAGTGATGTTATCTCATGAATTCAGAACGATTCTTTCAATGCTGCTAGGGAGAGGGGTGGGCAACTGCCGGAGGGCCAGATCTGCCGCACCCCCAATTCAGGAGGGCCGGTCTGCCCTTCAAAACCTGAAACAAATTTACTCACCAAGGGCCCAGCTACCTGAACACGGGACAGCCATTTTTAGTCTGGGAAGCTGTGGATACGGAACAAGTAAGAACAAGGAGTCTAGTGAGCTGTATTACCTGGAATATGCGCGTCAGATCTCTTAAATTGAAGATGTAATGAAATCGAATGGCTGTGGGCAGGAAATTTTGGGCCATCTTCTGGTGTAGAGAAATTGCAGCCTGCGTAAGTGTGCCAACCATCTTGACCAGGCTGTAGCAGAAGCCCCCTTGCTGGAAATGCGTATTTAAGATCTTGCCATAGATAGTGGTTAAAGCCTCAGTTCCTGGGAAGTGGACAGCAAACACAGAGAAGTGTCTCTGAAAGAAAAAAATGGGGGTGGGGTGGAATGGTGACAGAGAGGCTTAATTCATTGTACCCTTTTAATTATTTGAAACTTTTTTTTAGTTATTTGAAACTTTGAAGGCAGATGTGAGAAATGGAATGACTTTGGTAGGTAGAGGATTAAAATTTCTCCAAACATACAAATCTCAGAAATCAGGTTTATAAATTAAGAACATGTTTACCTTCCAATGACCAAAGACATTTCAAAGCACACTAATTACGGAAGGAGAATCAGGTGCTACGAGGGCCTACTTGGAAGGGAAAAAAACACGATAAACATTTGTCTAGTTTTACCCATCATCCAGTTTGGCATCAGTGGGTGATTTGTGGTGTACATACTTATGAAGATTTAAATTATAGCTACAATCCTGTTAATGGAATATTAATAAATTAATCCTAAGAATTCTTGTCAAATTATTAATTTTTTAGTATATTTGTATAGGTTTGCATGGGGGAAAGTGATATCCCTAAAGCAAAAAGCATGCTTTCTTTTATGCACTGGAGAGTTACGGCAGCCATATTCTCAAGAGAGGCTTTTCCATCTGTGTAAAAGAGAAGACAAACAACTTCTCTTAATAAGTACACATCAGGGTCAGTTAAAAGGTGAAGGCATTGGTTGACTGACTAAATCTAACCCAGCTACACTATTGTGAATCTTAGATTCAAGTCAAAATCCTGTATCTGCCTCAGTCTCTGATATCAGATTGATGGGAGATCCTACTGTATTGTGTTTTGAATTCTGTATCATGTGACACATTGCCTGTCTGACAGAATCGTCCACACAGAGAGAACTTCAGTGGATAAATGTTTTTTTTTTCCTGATAGGGGCTGATGTCTGTATGGAGAACTGGGACATAGCTAGGTCGATGAGAATAGATTTAATCTTGTTCTTCAGTTTTATATGAAATCCAGTTATTTATATGTAGTCTCTCTAACTCTTTTTTTAAAAAAAAACACAGTCCTTTTTAAAATGTAAGTAAACAAGTGAGGAAATGGCTTCCTTTATGTATTTAAAACCAATCACCACAACAAAAAACTCTCCAGAGTGGTAAATATGAGGGGGCAAAAGAAAGTCGACACACTTCAACTTGCTAGAATTAAAATAGCTTTAACTTTATTAGGAGGAAGAACAGCTTGTTCACATTTGGCACGTACGGCAACCCACCTGAAGACGCTGATTTACTGAGAAACTTCCAGCCGTGGGATTCATGCACGTGACATACTGACAATTGTGAATTTCTTTCAAAATGAGTTTCTGTCTGTCATACCTATGTAGTTACAAAATAACAAAGGGATAATAAACCTCAATTGTATATTCACAGTTTGAGATCCCTATTGACAGATCTTCACAGTGAAGGCTGCCGTAAGAAAGTCTGATTATGAAGCCCTCTGTTAAAAGACCTGAAAACCTTTCTTTTGTACCTGTTCCCTTACGCGAGATTTCTATAATTCTCTTCAGCAACTCTGAAGACTGACAGAACCTCAATTTGGCCTGCTCTCATCAAATTATGACAGTAGCGTTCAAGCATTTACTGTGCAAGGAGAGAGTTTCCACTGTTGGCTTCTCTTCAACAAGGTCACTGAGAGTCGTGACCGATTTTGACGAGTGCAGCAAGTTGGTAAACAGGCTGTGACACACATGGATAGATAGAGATTTCAGGATACCACTTGTGAACTCCTTGACCCAAGCCAAAGTCATATACCAAGCAATGTAAAAAAGCCTCTAGCTAAGACCTCAAACAGCTATTGGGGATTGATATAGAGGGAAAGCTCTGACTTGTTGCCAGTTCCACGGCTTGGTCTGTAGAGAATCTACAAGCCTTGCCTTGTTCATCTTATCATTCACACTGACAAAATCTGATAGGAAAAGATGGAGTCAACAGGCAGTGGGACACCGGGAATGGAGCCAGCATTGAGAAATCATGCACCAACACACATCTTGGGAACACCACGTTCAGGATGAATGCCTGAAGGGAAGGTGGCTGATATAGTTCCATTCTGTTTTATGCTGATAAGACCACACCTCTGGAGTACTATGCCCACTTCCAGGTGTTACTTTATAAGAAATACCCTAACAAAATGTACAGTATGTTTTGAAAAGTTTCAGGATTGCATTGGGGGCAACGTGCTAGTCACTCTTCTCTAGAAATGCTCTATCTGCACCTCTGGAAAGGGGAGAGGATTGGCAATCAGTTCTTATAAGAAACAATTGAATGAGCTGAATAGATTTAGTTTGTAAAAGAGAGGTTTAGGAGAAGGCTTAATGGAACAGTGTCATGTAGAAGACAACACACGGTTGTTTTGTGTTTCTTTAGAGGGCAGAACATGTGTAGCTTGCATGGAAGCATGTTTCTGCTAAGTATTGGAAGAAACTTCCTAATGGTGATCTGTCTGATAGCAGAACAGGCTGTCTCGCAGGGCAATAGAGTTTTCCTGGATAAAGGTATTATAGCGGGGTTTTAACAGGCATTTGCCAGGGATAATGTAGCTCTGTACTCAGTAGAGGTTTGAGTTAGATGAACAATCAAAATATCATGCTACCGTTCTATGGCTGAAATCCTGTGTTCTTAGCATAGTAAGTCACACTAGAGGAGGCCCATCTGAGTCAATGGAACTCACAGAAGAGTTAACTCACCAAATCCCCACTTATTTAGTGTGCTTACTCTATAGTGACTTGTTATGCCAAATGAAAGGATTTCAGCCAATGTTTCTAAATTCTAGAGATGAATTTTTATTCTAGTACCAGTGTGGCTGGTTAAGCCACCAGGATAGTCTATTGCAGCAAAACCAACAAGGAATCTCCTGGCAACTTGAAGATGAACAAGGGAATTTTCAGCATGGGTTTTCATGATCTACAGCCCAGTTCTTTAGACAGGTGAAGTGGGCTGCAATATAATTTTCCTAAACAGCATTATTTTGCTGCATTTCCCCCAGATTCCTGTTTACTTGTCCTGACTACCTGATGACAGACAGGTGGGGCACATACTGTAGTGAAGGCAACATGCTAAAATCCAGTTGAAGTGTATATTGTATTCATGACCCAGGGAATTAACTATTGCCTTAAGTAAAATAAAGTCTCTGGACTTTGTCATCATTCAGCCTAGACAACATTGTGTTGTGCATCAGGATTAATAGTCCTGTTATACTATACAGAACGATTTGTCCATAAAAATGATTAATCCAATTAAGGTAGAACACAAAACACAAGACTTACTTTGGTTAATCATGCAGGATAACCCAAGATGACAACACACCACAAATACCATATTGCTGTTTCTTTTGCAAGGGCTGGGCAACATCTTGGATACTGAGGGATCCCCATCAATAACCTTTTGCTACTATCACGTTGCCAGATTATGGTGATAGCAGCCCATCACTTTTGCTTAAGAACTGCTAGCATGCTGCTGAAATTCAGTGGTGCAGTTGCACTGGCAGGTGGGGAAAAAAAACTTTTAACAAGATGCATGGGGAGCATACGACAAGCTTTAGAACAGAATCAAGATTCTGTGTCCTCAGCTAAAACATGGTGTGCACTGGGAATACACCTTGGTCCTGAAGAATGACCCTGTCCAGCCATTGATCAACCATAAGAATGTGGTATCAACAAATTTTGGCAGCATGGTTCTGATTTAGGTGGTGGCACTGGTAGCATCTTGGAGAACAGCATCTGGCCCAGGGGCTGTATGTTGCCTCGCTCTTCTCTACATATACAAAAGTGATTTCCAACCTTGGGCCCCCAGATGTTCTTGGACGACAACTCCCACAAGGCTTCATCACTAGTTGCTGGCCAGGATTTCTGGGAGTTACAGTCCAAGCACATGTGTGGATCCAAGGTTGGGAACCACTGGTCTAGAATATATAAAAATCACAAATATTAAATTTCCCCCAGTGAACACAATAGTGATTCATAATCATAAACACATACCATGTTATTTTAACACATATATTCAGATTTGTATTATTCAAGTTGGCGGTTTCCAAATACACATGGATAATTTTAACTGACCAAGTCCAAAACTTCAAAAAAAAATTACCAGTGGTGATAGTCAAGGTGCTGTCTCATCAGAGTATGAGGCTGGACAGTTCCAAAGGCATCAACCTCAGGCATATTAAGATCATCAATGAAGTAAATTAATTTTTTCATGCCTGGAGGAGCATAATTTCTGCCAGCTTTCTTTTCCAAGGATCTTTCAAGAACACCTGCCAAAAGCATAGAAGATGCATGAGAATGATAGAACGATCAGTGAAGTTCCGCAAAAAGAAAAAGCATACAGGTCAAATTGCTGAAATGCTCAAATAGACCACAACTATTATATCAAGCTTCTTTATTTATATTTCCACATGATTGTGTCAAATCTCTAAGGGGATAACAATCTGGAAGTATTTTGTGGCATTTTCTGAGGAGGCAACCAGAATATGACAGAGTGACAGATTTTAAGGCCAATAACTGCCTAACAGTTACGTTTCTATAATATGCGAAGAAGAAGAAGGAAGCACAGGAGCCAAAATCATCTGACATTTTTGGAAGCACAATTTTTCAGCTACATTTTTTTAAAAAAACAAACTCTAGCATGAGTCATTACAGGAAGATCAAAGTCTGTGCTCTGTCCTCTTCCTCCTCTTGCAGCTAGGAGGATGGTAAGTCAGCCTTCTCAGTTCTAGCGTCCCAAATGGGAGATACTTTGCAGCGGTTCCCAGCCTTGGGTCACCCAGGTGTTCTTGGACTACAGTTCCCAGAAGCCTTCACCACTAGCTACACCAGCTGGGCTTTCTGGGAGTTGCAGTCCAAGGACATCTGGGTGACCCAAGGTTGGGAAGCACTGCTCTGCTGGGAGGCTCACCTAAAACTGGTGTAATTTCAACATCATGAGAAGTTCCTTTTATTGGTTTTTATTGTTCATCTTGCTTAAATTGGCATTTATTGCTCTTCTCTTCCTTCCGGGTTTTATTTTGCAGTGTTTGTTTAACTGTTTATTGTTTTAATTGATGCTTATCAGTATTCATTGAAGTTTGCCATTTGGGAAGACACGTGACTTTACAAGGGAGAGACCTCAGCCCATGCTTTGCATTCAGAAGCCCCTGCGTCCACTCCCTGGCATCTCCTGCTAAAGGGATCAGGCAGCAGGTAGAAGAAAGCACCTTTGCCCAAGACCTTAGAGAGTCAACACAACTCTGAACTGTTTGCTCTACTGAATTTTTTTTATCACTCATTACTATCATGATATGATTATATTAATATCATTAGCTCCTTTTTGAAGACTGTTTGCTTTGAGAAGGGGGTCTAGAGACCTACATAAATGAATAGCATGCCATAGAAACAACATTGTTGACAAAGCAGATAATTGTCAATTTCTGAGCCAATTTCTTGACCTTCTGCTGAGTGGGAAGTCCCTCCAATGTGGGATGGCGCTGCATGCACAAACACTGCTGTTGCAGTAACAAAGGGAGGGCTTTCTTCATAGAGATCACCATGTGTGTAACGGCAATCCTTATGTAAGAAACACGATTCCATCTTACCACTCAGCAGATGCTCAGTAGGCTACTTGCCCAGAAATTATAAGGAACTGCATCCAGACTTCGTTATAGACTCACAGAAATCAATCAAGCTTAAATTAATCATGGTGACCTAAGTTTCATGCATTTCCAAGAGTCTATTTGAAGTATGACTGAGTCTGAATCCAACTTATCATATACACAGGGCTAAATTAATATTCCCAACTACAGTATGGCTATTGAATGAATGAGCCTTGTTAGGTATGAAAACAGGACCCATCAACTCAATAATTCTACTCTAGTGGGACTAGCATTTGGAACTAGACTGAAGGAAAATGTTCAGTATTTATAATTCACTTATTTACCAAACAGATTGCCTTGACATATAATATGTCACAAACATCTGAAACTGTGAAGATCAGACCACCTGTCTGCTGCCGAGAGATCTGTGATCAATCTTTCCCATGCTTTTGGATTGCATTTTCTGTCAAAAGGTGTGTGGTAATCTTAATGTCTAGTTCACAATTTTGTGATGATGTGGAGTAGCTCTCACTGAACAAGAGAAAAGACAGAATTATTTGAAAACTGGTAGTATGGCAGTAACTACGTACGCTGCAGCATAGCAGATGTTGTATAATAATTGAAAGGGACCTTGGTCACCATATACTCTTCAGATAGCTTGGCAAGCTTGTCCATCATGAGGATTGTTTTTCCAACTCCAGCATTTCCCACCAGCATGATGGGCTGACCCTTCTCCAAAAGCAAATCCACAAAATATCTCAAGCGGATGGTTTCGGATGTATGAATCAAGACGGTCTGTTCCCGCAGTCAAGGCACAGAGGAATATGCATTTCAGAAGCAGGGGAAAAGATATATGTTATGCAGTTAAGAGTGTTCTTTCACAATGTAAATCAATGTAATTGTTTTTATACTTCAATTTAGATGACAGAAAAGTGAACTTATATATTAAGATTAAACAAGTGGAAATATATTACGGTTACTCAAACTTGATACTTGTCATAATCTTAATTTTGCAATAACAATGAATGATTTTTGACACCGCAAGATCAGAAGCTAAATAGCTGTTTTAGCAAGATTACATTATATAGCATCTGTAACTCAGTGCTGCGTTTTGCTGTCATTTAAAATGCTGTGAAATGTAATATGAGAATTATTGCAATGTCTATATTCACATTTTCAGATATAAATGACATGCTATAAACATAAGTCATAGTGCTACCGTATGATTATGCTGAAATAATATAACATGGACATAAATGAAGAGAAATGGTGTCAGATTGTCTTTGCCCATATGTGGGGCTGAAAATTCTACCCAAGGAGATAAGAATTAAAATTAGGGAACCAAATAAATAGGACAGCAATCGTTTTATTTGTGGAATAAAAAGACCTGATGTCTTTTGAAAATGAATTTGTAGATGTACCTTAATATATATCACCCCGGGCAGTTCATTTAAACTGCCAATAATAGGTATATCAATGGCAGAGATGGAATATGAACCCAACTTGTACAGGAGGTAATACTAGAATCTGGTGAGCTCTCTCTACAAGGTTCCAAATGAAAAATAAACTGCAGGTCTGTAATGGAGTGTCGTTTGTACAAGCCTGCAAAGGCTCTAAGGCAGATAGAAAAATGTGCATCCTTGAAGGGAAATAAACTCACTGCAAACTGAATGACGCTCAAAGCTTTGTATGTTTCAGCCACCCTTGTGAACACGAGCAAAGACACTCCTATCGGCGTTACGAGGAAGTGTGCACCGTAACAACGAAAGCCTAACGATCACACGAGGGCTCTAATTAATTGTGATTCCAGGTTCAGTTTCTATTTTCATGATTAATTGATACTGTGTTGTCTTGGGTAAGTTAATTAACTTATCTGTGCTTAGTTTAGTCAACTGGAAAATGGACATATTATTACTTAATTGTATCAGAGGGATTCATTGGGACTCCCTTAGGGTTGGGGCCCTAGAACACTCAGCCACAAGTTCCACTTGAGGAGAAAATCGTTTATTGTGCCACGAGGGTAGCCTTCTGATGTGGCTGCCTTCCGTGTCAATGAAGTATAATCTGGGTTTGGCTGGAATCTCAATTGTTCAAGAACCGCAAATATGAAGCTCTATTTCACTTAAGAAGGCAAATAAACACTCATTCCTGTGCTCTGTCATGCCAGGGATCTGGTGGAAAGAAAAGCCCCTACCTCTGAGCTACAACTCAAAGCTGTCCTCATCAGAGCTTTGATGAATCATGTAAGGAATAACAATGTGACTAGAATATACTGATTTTTTTTAAAAAATCACTTGGGAGGACAGTTTTTAAAGTATCATCATGCTTTTGAGTTAAAGGGACAACAACAACAGTGTGCTGTCGAATCAATTCTGATCCTTACCAGAGTTTTCTGGGTAGTTTCCATTTCCCTTCTTCTGGTGGGTGCCCTGGGACTGCGCAGGTGGCCCAAGGACACCCAGGCTGGCTCTTCTCCCTGGAGACAGAGTGGGGGAATCAAACTCCCAACCTCTGGCTCTGCAACCAGATGCCTAACTTACTGAGTTAGCCAGCCACCTTAAATGAATAATATTTACTCATTATTCTCAAAATACTGCTTTGGAGGAGCCATTGGTAGTCTGGTCATTTTCATTGGAGTTTTAAAAAACTAATTTTCAAAAATGGGAAGACTACAACATTAATAAGGAGTAATAGCACTGATTTATTTTGGAAAAAAACCCAACAACTAATAATTCAGGTTTTGGGGTTTTTAAGAATATGTATTTACAGAATAAAAAAAGACTGTTTGTATCTATCTAAGAAGGAAGGGTGTTGATATTCATGCCATCTAGAAATCCAAAGCCCAACAGTAATTTCCCATAAAATCCTAATGGCTCCTCGAAAAGCAACGAAAAGCAGCGATGAAACGGCCAACGTACCGCTAGCGGGGTAATGATGATAATCAGACATTTGCAAGTCAGCCACCAAACAACACACTCCAAGTTCCTCCGAATGTTCAATATTGCAATGAAAAGCTCCAATTGTAGCTCAAATACGTCTTCACTATGAGTGCATTGGATCATTTACCTTAACAATAGGAACGTGCTCTCATTATCATGTTCAACTTGATTAGTGTATAGTCTAACATTTAAAAGTGCACTTCAGATGGAAGAAGGTATGAATGCATGATTGGTTCCTAATAAATGGAGCAACCTCCTAATGAACTGTGAGGGATCTAGACGGCCGTGGTGGAGAGGCGCAGAGGAGAGGGGAGTTTTTCTCCCCCAAATACTGTAGTTTGCTATGTCATGTTCTTTATTGTCTAACATATTCCTAAAATGTTTTAACCATAAAGAGCCAGGGAGATTACAAAGCAGGTTGAAAGGCGTATACAGTACATGTAGCATTTGGGAATGGGGATGATTGAAAATGGGTGCTTTGCGCCTGGCAGATTGGCTGAATCCAGTGTGTTGCAGAAAGCCTGCCCTGCCTTTAGGCAGGGTGGAACAGTTGCCTCTGGAATCAGAAAAGGGCAGCAAATGGTCAGCTATTCAGTTTTTTATTGTTTGTTTTTACTGTATTCCTATTACTTTTATGCTAGCTGCAGAGCTTAGTGGTGTAGGGGAGCCAGAGGTTGGGAGTTTGATTCCCCGCTGTGCCTCCTGTGAGTAGAGCCAGCTTGGGTGGCCTTGGGTAAGCCGCACAGTCCCAGGGCACCCCCTTGAAGAAGGGAATGGGAAGCTACTTCTGAGTGTCCTCTACCTAGGAAACCCTGAAAAGGGTCATATTAAGTTAGAATAATATTGTTGGTCTTATATGAGAGATAGTAAGAAAACAGTCACAAAAATAACCATTATCATACTATGACTTTTCTTTTGCAATAGTGAAAGTCTATTTACCTTAGATTATGATAGTGACACAAGGCAAATATTTAACTTCTATCCAGACATTTTTGTGTAAATTCCTTTTAAAGGATCTATTTTAGTTACTTTTGAGAAATACGAAAGCTAACTTTTAATGGTCAGAATCCTAGCAGTGAGTTACACTTGTATTATGTACAGTGGGGTAAGCTGAAGCAGAGAGAATTAACCAGTTGTCATTTGTATCCTTTATCATATGCCAGTTGTGTTTATGTGATGAGAGGTACAAGTAGTGAATTGTTAAGTAGTGAGAATTTCCACTGTAATTTACGCCAGTGGTTCTTAACCTTGGGTTACTCAGGTGTTTTTGGACTGCAACTCCCAGAAGCCTTCACCACCAGCTGTGCTGGCTGGGGTTTCTGGGAGTTGCAGTTTAAAAACACCTGAGTAACCCAAGGTTAAGAACCACTGCTCTAAATCACTGGTTCTTAACCTTGGGTTATTCAGGAGTTTTGGACTGCAACTCCCAGAAGCCTTCAGCACCAGCTGTCCTGACTGGGGGTTCTGGGAGTTGCAGTTCAAAAGCATCCGAGTAACAAAGGTTAAGAACCACTGATTTACGCCACTGCACTGACATTGGTATAACTACCCAACAGGATTCTAGCCACTGTTTCTAATCCTAATGGTAGCTTATTTTTATGCTCTTTAAAATTATAATCATAATGAGTATACTTAAAACAAACAAACAAACAAACAAACAAACAAACAAACAAAGACAGTTCAAGTACACAGACAACATGGTTCAAAGTACTGAAGGGACCCAGGCAGAATACAGTCAAGACAACCAGATGTCTCTAGGTATCCCAAAGTTGGCGATAGGAAACAATGCTTTAATAGTGACTAATATAGTGTGCATTCTTGGTCAGAATACTTGGTTTCCATGGGTAAGGTTTTCTACTCTTTGCAGCATACAGTATATACATATGAAGAAAGAAGACCGGAGGATCTTCCATGGATTGCTCATCCAAATCTCTTTCACATTCATGTTATGGTGAGCACAGGAAGGACAGAAGCGGCTGTCAGAAGCTCTGTAACAAGGGGAACGTACCAAAAACTGTCTTATAGACGTCTGTATTCAATGCAAGTCTTATTTCAAAAAGAACTGACCTGGGAATTGTTTTGTTCAGCAATACATACATTTCCAGAAACCGTTATCCTGCACTGTGTACCAAGTATCTTAGTAGGAGTTACTGTGTTTTCATTTACCCTTTAGGGCCAGCCCAAGTATTGCATAAAGAAGAGCGAGTGCTTCATGTGGTAGATGCTGAGGGCAGAGACAGCCTTCCAGCCATGACAAAATGTGGTGTGGGGTCTTTAATTTTTCAAAAAAACCCTGTTGCCATTGATAAAAAATCATTCCACTAGTGGCGATTTTCAGAGATTAAAGACCCTCCCTCCTCCCCCATTCTCCAAGGGCTTCCCCAGGATGAAAGAGATTCGAAGGGAACCTCAGAACCTTGGAATGGGAGGAAGAGAACAAGTAACTTTTAATTTCCCCAAAATTGCTATGGCTGTTGATGTCAGCTGCCTTATCCAGCACAAATTTATGCAACTGGATTTCAGCTTCAAACTCTATTTATCCCCTTGCGCGCTTGGCCTTGTTATAGTCCTAGATGACCATATACAGATGAGCTCTTCAGAAAGATTATTCTGTAACCAGGTTTGCTTTCCCTAGGTAACGGTTGTGTGATCATAAAAAAAACATTGTGTTTGACTATTTGACAATATAACTCTTTGCATCTGAATTTTGGCTGGTCCGCCCTCTTCGCAAAATCCTGTCCTCCTATTGATGTGGAGGCTTCACAGTCTCTAGGGGAAGTTCTCAGAAGCAAGACATATTGGGTGACGTTGTCTTTGATGTCACCTGTGGGATATCAAAGACTCCCTTTCCCATTG